AAGTGCTCACTGTTAGCTGACCCTGGAATCTAGTAGCTGTCTATACATTGGGATCACAGAATAACTGGGAGTGACTGTGCCACTGCTCCCAATTCTGCTCCTCAAAGCAACTGACAGTGGCTTCTGACAGTCTCACATGACATTAAATTGACATCGTGAATATAAAAGAAAACTGAGGCCCTAAATTGATGAATTCCTTTGAGTACATAGGGAATTCACAAAGGTTACTGACCAATGTGAGACACACCCCAAATGACCAACAAGGACTGGAGGGAGACACAGTGATCATAGCATCATCGCAAGCTCACCTGTGTCCAAACGATTGTTACTCATGAAACCATTTACAATTCACTTTATGCAGAATTGAACTAGTACATTGGCCTTTGCTATAGTTTTCTGGATAATTCTCATCCTTTGGAATTTCCTGAATAATCGAGAGATCTCGGCTAGTCACAAAATCCACCTAGCAATCTCTGAAAGGGGGGGAAAAAAAAAGCATGTTTTAATCACGTTAAGGTTAGACAATGGTGGCATAGTGGTTGAGAAGTCAGCTGCTAACAGAAATGTTGGCAATTTGAACTCACCCAGTGCCTCCACAGAAGACCTGGCTGTCAGCTCCCACACAGATTTCAGCCATGAAAACCCCACGGGGCAGTTCTGCTCTGTCCCATGGGGTCCCTACGAGTTGGAAGCAAGAGCAAGGTCAGACACTGGACAAGGTCAGACACTGAATGTCTCAAGATTCACTCTCTTTCTCCTTAAAACTCCTTTTGACTAGCCTGAGATGGAATCCTTCGTTCTCTGAACAGGAGGGTTTCTTCTGTATGTATGCAAATTACCTGCTCAAATAAAACCTATATGATTTAATTTCTCTGGGCTTTGACTGGGGAGCCTGGTAGTGCAGGTCAGCAGTTCGAACCCGCAAGCCACTCCATGGGAGAAAGATGAAGTAGTCTGCTCTTCATAAAGATTTGGAAACCCTGTGGAGTGGTTCTACTCTGTCCTGTGGGGTCACTATGAGTCTAAATCAACTCATAAGTAGTAGGTTTAGTTGCTTTGATTATTTTTGATGAAATAAAGCAATAGAGTAAAGGCCAAAATGCTTCCAGGGTACAAGAGAGAATTAGGGCTATTTCATTCCTAATGCCTGCAGATTAAAAGGAAAAGACAGATCTTCAATATTGGAAGGGATACATACCGTAGCATGATGGTCATCATTTATTAACACATTAGAAAACACTTTTCTGTCCCATTTCAGATGACATGAAAGGCATGGGGGTGGACACTGGAGTCCAGGCCACTGCAGCAGCCACATGTGTTCACTGACGTTGCGATTTTACCCTCAGACGATTGACCCAGCAGTAAATCCAGGAGGTGGAAAGCCCTGTTTACACATTTCAATTCAGAGCCTTGAGAACAGGGGTCATTGCATGGTATTAGTAACAGTTCCGGGGATTCTGACAGCAGTGACATTTAAAGAGACGCCAGGGTAGGCATTGCTGGGATGGGCATTGGACAGTGTGCATTGTTGACAATATTCGAGGGCTAATAGGTCCGGTTTTGTTTTCCTTCTAGCACATGCATCTTTGAGACAGGTTGCAGCTCAGATCAACTGAGCTTTGCCTGTTAATAACTTCCTACTCGTTACGAAGCCACAGGAGGGTTACTTAAATACTTGAAACCAGGAACAATTAAACCCTGTGCTGAAACATTAGTCTTCGTGGGAGGTGTAGGGTTACTTCACTCAGTAACAAACTCCTCCACACTAGTCAGGTGAGTCCTGGCTATAGGCTTCCCAGTGTGCTTGTAGTAAACACTGGAGGCAGAGTTAAGGAATGAAGAGGGGCTCCAAATGATGTGTTTGGAAAAGTTGGCCTTGGAACAGGGAATTGCCGAGCGTCCAGAGGATGCCAGCACCCCCGACTGCTGCTCGGAGACCCTGGCGATGACCTTCAGCACCCACTAGAATGCCTGGATGGTTCAAGAAGGCGTGGTACGGGCTGGCGTCTTTACTTAGCTTTTCCTCCTTCGTCCTCATCATCATTGCCTTGGCGGTGCCCCACTGGCTCAGTGGGAAAATCCTTTGTCAGACTGGAGTGGACCTGGTCAACGCTACGGACTCAGAGCTGGTCAATTTCATTGGGGACATTTACTATGGGCTCTTCCGAGGGTGTAAGGTCCGGCAGTGCGGGCTCGGGAGCCGCCAGTCTCGCTTCACCAGTGAGTATATACGGAGCAGAAATGCTATGACACTTATGTGTGATAATTTGTAGGGATGCTTAGTTTAAATGAGGAATTCAACCGACACCTCAGTCTGGGGCTTAACGTCAAAATCCACAGTGAGCCAAGAGTTCTTGTTCAGCATCCAGAAGAGATCTTTATTTTCTGTAGAGGCTTATCGAAACATAGAAATATTAGAAATAGTAATTTGCATGTATTGGTAGTTTATCTTTACTAATAATAAGTATTAAAATGCCGAGTCCTTACATGTGTCAGACAAGCTACTAGGCTGTTCACATGGCTTGTCTCATCTAAGCCTTACAACAAACTTTACATAGATAAGTTATAAGGAAGGAATTACTAACGTTCCCATTGTGCAGAGCAGAACACTGAGACTTGGAAAAGTTACATAACTTCCTAAGGTCACTCAGCCAGGAAACAGCAGAGCCAGACTTCAGACCCATGCCGCGTGACGCCAGCACGCGTGTATTCTCAACCACTCCAACCGTCTGGTGCAGGTCGCCTACAAAAGCGACCCTTCAGAGACCCTGGTAACTGCTCCAGCTTCTCTTTATACAAAAGCTTCCGCCCGTGGGTTCTGGAGTCTGATGCCAATGTTCACTGGCAGAGAGACCTCAGACAAGGCATTTGACTGCTGTCTGTGAACGCGGGCGGGCACAGACGGGCTGGCTGTCCAGGATGCTTGGAGCTGTTCAGGGTGTAAACAGAGCAGTCCACGCAAATGCCAACCAGGCAGGAATCCAGGCAGGCCTCAGGAAGGGTCTTCTGGGAAGGAAAAGTATAAAGTAAAAAAGGCAGCGGTCGGCAAACCTTTAGAATCAAACAATTAGGTTGCTGGTAAGAAGAGTGCCCAACAAAAATCATAATTAACTAATGCTCAAGCAAGGTGATAAGGGATCTTATTTATTATTTGATTTTCATATTTCATATTTAGGGCAGTTTTTAGAAGCTTGGCCAGTAGATATATTCCTAAATGTAAAAGACAGAAAACTGGAACCATGGATGAATATCATAATAATACATATTGACACCATTTATAGGCATGGAGGAAATACACATTTGTTATGCATATTCAAAAGCAAAATACAAGTGGAGCTCGTAGGAAAGTTCTGAGGACTGAGAGCCTGGGCCTGGGATCTCTGGGCAAATTTATGCTTACCCAGCTCTTGACACACTACTGTCTCAAGTTGTTCTCACGCAGTTCATTTCCTTCAATCCTTACTACAGTAGAGGAGAGA